AGTAGAAATACCCTAGTAAAGAATAGTACTATTATATTTACCTACGATTATAGAGATTAAGTTAAATTAGTAACTAAAGGAGTTACTAATATTACTAGCGCTCGTAGTATTATTTATAAGGATTATTCTATAAAGAATTAATATATTACTTAATAAGTACTAGGAGCTTATATAGCTATAGTATACAAACCTAAGGCGGTATTCGATTTAAGCGTTATAGTATAAACTCTAAACCCTAAGAGCGATATTAATATATTAAATAAGCGCCTTTAATAGTTAATTAATAATCTAAAGCGTAGACTTAAATATACATCTTTAGATATTAACTTACTAAAGCTTATTATAGTTAAAGAGTAGGTTAAATATAAGGATATTAGTAAAAGATAGAACAATAATAATATAGAGAATTAGTAGATTTAAATAGATTTATAAATTACGAGGTATTAATAGACTTAATCGATATTAGAGGAGAAATTAATAGATTTAATTAGTTAAGGACTTTAGATAATTAGTCATTTATACTAAGTCTTTTACTTCTTTTAAAGTAGGCCTAGTATCGCTATAAAATCCGAGTAGTTATACTCGATAGTACGGACTACCTAACTAGGCTAGTCCTGCCTATATTATAGCGGTACGACTTCTACACCTTTAACTCGGTGTGCATCAATAATAGGAATAGTCTAATACTAAGGTTTAGCCTCTTCCTGTATTACACCTCTCATATTTGACAATAAGTCAAACCAACACGAACTATATTTTAAACTTTTTAATACTTACGCTAGACAGGTTAAGAAAAACTTCGTCCTCGGTAACATAATTGTTAGTTTGCTAGGGTGGCTAAGATTAGTAACAAGATAAAGCTACCGAAAAGGTTATATTTCTTTCAAGTCTCGCCTAGGACGAAGTACGGATTTGGCTAGAATACACGTATAACCAAGTTCTCGGAGGTACAAAGGGTCTGGACAGCTCGCTTCTCCCCCTTTCCTGTATACGAGTTGTTACTTAATATAGTCGATGGTAGCGGAAGGCTAACGGCAAAAGTATATCAGCGACGATACGATAGAAGTAAGTAAGTATTATAGTAAAGGGGGTAGACAGTTAAAGCAAGAATATTCCACTGTCAATCTAACCCGTGCTAGCTAGAGACAAGCTTCCAGAAGCTATTACAGTTACTGATTATATCGATTTGGGATTAATAGGGACTGAATATGTAGGAAAAGTGTTACCTTCAAGGTGGAACTCCATTGAAGCAAACAACATAAGTGGAGTCTCTTGCGGAAGAAGGCAGATAGAGTTGAATAGCGACGAAATCTTGAATTCAAGGGGGGGGNTGGAACTCCATTGAAGCAAACAACATAAGTGGAGTCTCTTGCGGAAGAAGGCAGATAGAGTTGAATAGCGACGAAATCTTGAATTCAAGGGGGGGGGGGAGGAGTTAATGCTACTTGTACCTATAACAATACCTAGCTAGTGATATTAGGGGCCACAATTACCTCGCCCCTTCTCTCTGTTCCAGCAGACGATGTGCTCTGCTAAAGGTCTGTCGTTTCTATCTCCCACTTGTTGTTGGGGGGGTAGTGGGGGGGTTATCTGACACCAAGCCATATGATTGTTGGATTTCTATGGGACAGAAACCAAAAAGCAACGATGGAAGGGAGCTAATTAAAACAGCATTCCCAATTACTCCTCCTTGGATTAATCCCACATTGAATGTTGTATATCCATATTTGTCGCTCAAAGCCGAACCGTTAGCATCAAAAACAATAGTCTATGTATTACACATTACCAGATTTGGAATACCCAGGGTGAGCAGTTTTCTGGTGACTGTCAAGCTGGCTTCTAAAGCTTGCTTGTGGGAATAGACCGAATCAATCGTAAGCTCTCCAAAGATAACTTAGTTGTTGTTATATACTTCATGGAAATTGAAGTATTTCATTACATCTACAATTCCTTCTTCAACGGCGGCAGAATACAGATAATAGCCAGCGCGGTATATCTACATTCTATGTTGATTGAGACATCAAGGCTGCTGTGATTTAACCCATTTGAGTAGCGGTTAAGTTTTTTGAATCGCCAGTTTCATGACGCCATATAATTATTTTTCTATTATCGCGTGGCTGACCTTTGGGGTTCAAGACATAAGCTTTTCGTATGTGTAATCTGTGCGGCCACGTAGCATATGAACCAAACTGCTGGTTTAGCCCTTGTCAGTGTTAAAAGAAGCGACATGTTGACGGGCTCTTTGAAGACCAATCACCACTTGACAATGCAATTTTTGGACACAGGCAGCTGGTGTGATTGCCCAGATACTTGAAGAAGTTGTAGTACGTACCTCTGGTCACAAGCGGGTAGCTGGAACAGGAGCTATCACTTTGGACGTCTTCACAACCAGCCTAGAAATTCATGCTTGCGCAACAACCACCACCACACGCGCGTTCACCTCTCAACACCTTGACAACACCCACTACCACCACCTCCTCACCCAAACCACAGAAAAGCAACAAAACAAAAAAACAACCAAATGAAAAATAAAAAATTGCAAAAAGAGGCTCATCAAGGTACCACCCTCTAGGCTCCGAGAACTCTGCATCTTCAATTCCAGGAATCTCAGAAGTTGGTTATCTCGCAAATAATCGCGCAGCTCGATCCGTGATCCATTAGGCCACAGACGTACTTTTTGAATTAGCGGGATCTTTTATTACTGACAGCGAGGTGTCTTATTTGCAATGTTGAAGGACGAGGTGGGTTGTGGGTGGTGGGTGAAGCCAGTGGAAAGGAGGGGAGCTCGCTTAGGGTTGTGGTGATAAAGCGGCGTGGGGATTTCTGCGCGAAGTTCTCTGGTTTTGCGTTGCTGGAATACAGCACCCTGTTGATGAGAGGAGGTGTGCACTCAAGATCCCCTTCCTGCCGCGAGTTCAAGTGAGGTTTTCCAACCGACAATGATTGGAGACATTTCTTAAAAGCGCATCGCTAGTGACAAAAGACTATGCTGTCTTTTTAGAAAGAGATTCTCTAAGCTAGGACACTATATTCCGAGAGGGCTTTCCCATTGAAACATCAAGCTGATTTAAGTTGGCGGACTCTATTCTCCGGGGCAGTATAACCGCACCCATATTCGTGGTTATGCTATCGTCTAGTCGATCCGATGCGTCCGATGCTCCTGGGCTCAAAATATACAAAAGGAAACAAGACTAGACCAGAATTTGAAGCATCGTCAAGCTTGGTTGGGATCATTGCAAGTCAAGAAAAATTCGCGGTAAGCACCCAGAAGCGGATTTATAAAATCCCTACTTAAAGTTCACAGCTTCGTGGAAACTGCATATGGGAAATTTAGTACGGTTCAAACGGTGGTAAGGATAAACAACATTCCTTATCTTCCTTTCAAGTCAATGACCCATTCCAAAATGGAAAGAAAATATCCCTCTAAACCTTTTCGCACATGACGAGACACAATTCTTCAACTCAGCAACTGATCCCGTCCTAAACTCTGTATAGTTCTCATCCACCACTACCCCCAACACCTTCTAATGTGCCTCCAAGAACCTGTCCTCGCTCACCAGCCAATACTAAAAGCAAATCTTTCGTAGGTACTGAAGGTGGTTACAAACTCATAACACGCAACGTACATCCATAGGCTGGTTAAAGTGGAAAGCGAGAGGGTGTTCAAAAGGTTGCCAAACTCAAAAAGGAGGTGGAAACTTGCTAGACCGTTGATATTTGAATGTGATGATATGAATAGAAAATTTATAACTATTGAGAACAGGATGAGAATGTGAATAGGTAGTTGAAAGTAAAATTTGCGATACTATATATTGTCTCGTTTTGCCTCCCTCCACCATCTTCTTCCGTAATGTCTCCATATCAAAGAGCTGCTACATTGTCCGTCCTGCCTTCTCGAACTCTCGTATATACCCCCTGGCTGATGCCGTCTCACCCATCCTTCCTCAGACAGCGTATCGGACAGAAATCGATGCACGCATCGTACACATCTTGTGCCTCAACTTTCCGGTCTACTCTACCAAGTATGTAAACTAAATATCAAGGAGGCATCATATTGTAAGATACCACCTAAACAAATCCTGTCCTCGAATACTCTATCGATTCACGTACCTACGTAGGAATAAAAAAGATATGTCATTCATTTGGATGAAATTAACAAGTTCCATCACATGTATTTTTACCCCGTGTGTGTGTGAGTGTAAGAGTAAAAGTAAGACAGCCAGATTTGTAAAGTAGGGTGTCAAACAAGAACCTAGGAAGGTACGATCCATCTCACAACATGCTTAAGTCTCCACACTCACGAATGTAGAGAATCTAGAGATGAGAAATAAGAAGACAGGAGCGATCTACAAAATCTGTCAAGCAACCGCCAGCCCTTCTTTCCTAACCTTGGAAGAAGTGGTTGATTTTCTCTCTACCTATATAATTTACGTCCAACAAAGCATTTGTTCTTTCCTCCATTACACACCGAATATTCTGGTTTTGGGTCAAGGTTGCTTCTTTCCTGAAGTTGGTACAGTAGCTGAAAGTCATAAAAGAGAGAGACCTGTCCATTACTCTGTACGCACTATTGAAGGTCACTACGCCAAAGGTCTGGCACAAGTAAATTGAGTGTCCTATTCTACCCCAGGCAATAAGAAGTGAGAAGTATCAATCATTCTAACCCATTCGGATGATTACTTTGGTTTTGCGAGGCCTTCGGAATAGTATTATTCTAGCATAGCTGTGTTTAGAGTAATAACCGTGTCTCTCATCTAGAAATATATGAATGAAGTAGGGTATGAAACCACCTGCCCAGACTTGTTCCATGGAAACAGTTTACAAACCTCAATCTTCCCTAAAGGTAGACTAGGCAGGGATCTTTCGCGTCCAACATTTTTATGTTTGGTATGAGTCCAAAGAGGAAAGTGCTTGAGGATGTGCAGAGAGTATCTCGATAGCTGGGTTCAATAATATCTCACCTCAAAGAATGAGCACAACAAAGAAATGAGATTATACTCAGCATGAATTTATATTTTTTGTCTTACCGTCAATACTATTATCGTGCATTATTGGAGTTCGGCTTGCCTATCTGTATCTAATACTAGCTACTACTGCCTATCAGTTTTCTGCTATGTAAGCCCAGGGCTGCTAAATTGGTCTCTGTGGTCCCTTTCTCCCGCACAACCACGCTTATTCGTAGGCCAAATCCAACAATGTAGATCAGCCCTCAGCCTCAATCTCGTAACTGTTCGACTTATGTTTTGGTTGAAATCTGAAGTCCTTGTGCGCTTTTCCAAGGTACATTTCACTGCATTTTCGTTAGCAACAGTTCTCTTGATTGAATCCAGTAGTAGCATACCTTATTTTGACCCAATCCAAGTAATTGTCACTAGCAAGCAAAGTCTCCATATCATTTCTTCCTCGATACGCCGGAGGTCTGTTCTGTAGACTTGGCGGTAATTGTTCTAGGATGCCAACTGGAACATAGCGACATGCAAAGGAAAGCCATTCGAGGAGAAACTTTCGGGTTGTTCCAACACCTACTTCGTCACTCCCCCAAGCTTCGAGTCCGAAACGAACGAATTGCTCAACGTAACCTAGACGCTCTGAAGCACTTTTGTCAAGGTATTGTCCTTTCTCAATTTCTTCAAAAAGCCAAGGCTTGATTAAGGCCCCTCTTGCAATCATGACGGAATCCACACCACCCTTCTCTATGCCATCATAATATTGTTCGTGGGAGTAGCAGTCTCCATTACCCATGAAGTACATCTTTCCGCCTGGAGAATTAGGAAGCGTGCGTGCGTCAGGCTCTCGAGCTGTGTCAGTCAAAGAATCTTTCTTATCGTTGTATGACTTGACTAGCGCAGCACATTCGGCGATGTAAGACCAATCCGCACTTTTGGTATATCTTTGTTGTCTGCTCCGTCCGTGGAGGGTAATTGCAGCACAACCGGGGGCCCCAATTCGAGAATAGGTTTCGGAATTTCCAAAAGCCAAACGCTCGATAACCTTCTGGGCTGTTGGCTTATCCTTCATCGTCCCTGTACGAATCTTTGCTGTTATTGGAATTTCTCCTGACACGGCATTCATACCACGGATCATTTTTTCCATTTTCGTAGGAGCATCCAGTAATGCAGACCCCGCTCCAGAACGATAGACCAGATCTATTGGACAACCACAATTGAGATCAATAACCCGTGCGTTTGGCACTAATTTTGAAAGCACTTCTGTAGTCTTAATAGCTCCTTGGGGCTTATTGGCTGATATTTGCACACCGAATTTGAGGTCCTTGGAATTATCATATCCTTGAACTATCGATTTAGGAGTATATCGTGGTGGAGATAGCTCACTTTCGTGTGCTTTCATTAGTGCCCATTCTGGTCTGAGACCTTGGATCAATGGTAAGCTCATTGCCATTTCTGAAAAGGTCAATTGAGCGCCAAGCCCAACACATAATCTCCTGAAAGGAAGGTTGCCTTGGGTTGTAAGAGGAGCAAGCAATGGAGTTTCTGGACCGAAATATAAACGTCTCTTTTCAGATGGTAAAAATGGTGGCTCCACAAATTGAGCTCTGTTTTCTTCTTTTTGCTCCTTAGATTCGTCCTTTTTCGAGTGGTAGATTTTCTCCATATATCTCGAGTCTTTCTCCATCCAATTGAGCCATGCATCTGACTTGTCTAATTTTGTTCTTTTTTTCGACAAGTCCAGTTTGTCCTTGGTTGACACGACCTACCAGAAGTGTTTAGCACGTAACATTTGAAACAAATAAGGCCGAGCCCATCGCATGTCTATTGTGACCAAGATCTCAGTGGGGGTTGCTTCGAAGCTACTCACGTTGAAAACACCCTTTCGAACTTCGTCGTCGTCATCTTGCTTTGGCACATTCTCATCCTCTATCAAAACCAACTCTTTTCGGCCGTCTTCCCTCTCGATTTCCTTGGAGTGGCTCCCCGCAAACCGGCATTTCCATCCAGCATGACATCGTCCATTGACCTCGTAGACTGGACATTTCCCATTGAAAGTTGCTAAATCCTCACTCTTGCCCTTTGCTAAATACTCTTTCAAGTTATGAGATGCTCTGCATTTTCCCCCAAATTGGCATGGCTTCGGCGAGAACTCGGGGGAGGAAGCTACGGAATTGCAGAGCTTGATAGCATCGTACCAGGAACCAAATTTGCGGTCCTTGTTTTGACCCTTTGCTTTCCCTTTTTTCCCACCATTATCTCTTGAGTCGCGAGATGATTTTGCTTCGGCATCGTCGTCACCATCAGGACCAAGATTTGTAGTCGTGGCCGAGCGATTGAATGTATCAATGAGATATCTGCCTTGGTTAGTATTAATGGTGTCGCAGAGGCGGAGCTCCAAAGAGGCGGGTCTGGCAACTAAAACCTACTCTTCCTTGACCGGTGCAATTCCCCTAACTCTATCTCGACCATCGACCTCCGCAGCGCCGTCCTCTAGCTCCTTGGCCGGTTCGTCCTTTGATTCTTGATTGGGCTCCTCCATCCTAGCTCTTTTCGGTGCATGTGCTTCAGAATCGACTTCTGAGGAGTGTTTACCATTTGCAGTACCATTTTGAGCTTTACCTGTGGTGGTCTCTTCGTGTGAAATTGTCTGCGACGCATGCAATTCTTCTGAGGGTACTTCGGCCGGTCTTTTGAGGGACGGTGCATCGGAAGCAGCAACTAGAGGTGGGGAGATCCCATTGGGTGTTTCTGGCTCTTGCGCCATTGTTGCAGCCTGTCCACAGCAACAGAGCCAGTGTTTGAGTAATTGGCAGACGATGTTGGAGTGGAATTGAGTGGCGTACCTAGAGCAGCGGAGGTGAGTTGAAGAAGATCGTCGCCCCCACTTCACTTTTTCTAGAACTTATCGCTTATCTTAGCGTATTTTTCTATTTTGGTGACCGTGGCCGAGAACCTAAGCGGCAATCGGGTCGTCTGCATCGGTAGAATCAAAATACAGGTCATTTATGCTTGTTCGAGATAATTTTAAATGACCAAGTTTGTGTTTCGTTTGTTCTGAGTACCTAAAATAACGAACCAGAAATTTTTATGTTTTATAAACAATAGTTGAAGCTGGCATGCAAAGGCAGAATATAGAAGTAGAATACGAGAGCCCCCTCGCCCCCTCGCCCCCTCAGGTCGCCCCCTCTCGCTGCCGCTTTCCCCTTTTCTGCCGATCGGAAGCGAGATGCGAGCGCGTCTCCGCTTCGTGGATTTTTGCGTTGCATTGGCAGCACCAGGCGAGCCAGGCGCGCCAGGTACAGTAGTATCCCCCGCATATTACATGTCACCTCACAGTACCTACTTCGTACGTTGCTCACAAACTCGCCAATCTACCTCCAGCACCAACTCTTGAATAGCTTCATCTGTTGCCGTTTTGGGCAAGCGTCTGAGCACGAGCGCGGCCGCACCCAGTTCGCTCATCCGATCGACTCCCACGGAATGGTGAGGCCCGCAGATCGCTTCCCACATAGCAGCGCGACAGGGGCAGAAGGCCTAGCACCCAGCAAAGTTTATGCCCAGCAATTCTGTTGAATTTCATGACCGGCATAACATCACCACCACGAGGACGCCTACTCCTTTATATTACAACACCCGCCCGACAGCCTGTTTGCTCTGTTCGCCACTCGCACGCCCAACGCTTCAACGGACAATGAGAAGCACGAGTTTCTACTTCAGCTCCCGCTCAAGATCTACCCGGCGCATCCACAATGGCTGGTTTACAGAAATCCGACAGAGACAGACGTCCGTCATTCAATTCCGGTAAACTGGTCCGCTCGCAGAAGATTATCCAGCTCGACCCTTCTGATACAAAACATCCAGATATTCCCGAAGACTCAGAGCCGCCACGAGAGGCTCGAGAGCATGCCTCCTCGAACCGCAGTCATACGCCGGGCCATCTATCAACCAAGAGCCAGGACCGGCGAAAGAAGGCATCCGACCTGGCCCTACGTCAACGCTCCCAGTCACTCCACCAAACACAAAAGGAGGATTCTCACGAGTCTTCCAAAACGGCCAGGTCGCCATCTGTCCATACAAACAATGACAAACCACCACCCAGACCAGACAACCCCCTCTCGCCAGCAGTCACAAGTATCTCTACTACCCCTTTGGCACACGTAACTTCAATGGGCTCACGTCCAAATAACCTGCGTTCGACGTCTGCAATAGCAGCCAAACCCAGACTCCCCGATGGCACCCCGTCTCCGTCACCTGCACGAAATACTACTCCAGCTCAACGTCCTGCACGCGGTCCCCACGTTGCTTTTCCCCCTTTGCCCGACCCGAAGACAGCACCAGATGTGCAGCCTGCTCCTGCAAGTGGCATGTACTGGTCGCGTGCCCCGGTTTCCGGAGCTCCTCATACCGCCCTGCGAGCACATACGAGTACATTGGTTGGGTCAAATATTTACATATTTGGTGGCTGTGATTCTCGGAGTTGTTTCAACGAACTATATGTGCTGGATGCTGATGCGTTTTACTTCTCAAGCCCCTTTGTTTGTGGAGACATACCCGTGCCTTTACGAGCAATGACATGTACAGCGGTCGGGAAGAAGTTGGTGGTCTTTGGAGGGGGTGATGGACCAGCTTATTATAACGATGTCTACGTGCTGGATACCGTCAACTTCAGATGGAGTAAGCCGATAATAGGGGGAGAACGGCAGCCCAGTAAACGAAGGGCGCACACGGCATGTTTATACCGCAACGGAATCTACGTGTTCGGAGGAGGTGATGGAGTTCGTGCTTTGAACGACGTATGGAGACTTGATGTTGCAGACACCAATAAAATGTCATGGAAACTCATTTCGGCCCCCTCCTCGGGTTCGATAGAGGACAAAACGAAACCCAAAGCTCGAGGGTACCACACAGCCAACATGGTTGGTAGCAAGCTTATTATATTTGGTGGATCGGATGGCGGGGAGTGTTTTCGAGATGTATGGGTATTTGATGTGGAAGCACTCACCTTCTCTCCAGTGCATATTCCCCTCTCATATCCTCGACTTTCACATACGGCTACAATTGTCGGATCATACCTCTTTGTGATAGGGGGACATGACGGGGTGGAATATTCAAATGAGGTGTTACTGTTGAACCTAGTAACCATGGTATGGGACAAACGAAAAATATATGGGCAACCCCCTAAACCTCGAGGTTACCATGGAGCTGTACTACACGATAGCCGACTTGTCGTTGTGGGTGGGTTTGACGGTGGCGAAGTATTCGGGGATGTTCAGATTTTGGAGTTGGCGGTTCATGCCTATTATAGCCAAATTAGTCATTTTAGTATTGATGTTTAGTACAAGGATTTCCGGCGGTTTCTTTCCCAAAAGATTTGGTGTTGATTAAGCGACCGAGCAAGAGTATGTCGGTGGTTTGTTTTATGCTTTATGATATTATGACTTTATACGAGTTTAGTTATGTACATGTACATAGGCTAGCAAGCTACTGTCAAGTAGTAAAGCAACCCAGATACCCCTTGGATGGTGCAAAAGAATACAGGTTCTGCTTCACGAGATTCAATACTTCAATGGATTTTGATTTTTATACAATGAGTCTCGCCCCGGTGTCCCTGTAAGTAACTCCATAAAGCAATCAATATCTACCAGCTGTACAAGAAAAGTCCCCTTGATGTGACTCCTTCTCAACCGTCGCAATGCAGTAAACCAAACCCCTTTTCCTCAACGGCGTTAATGCACCAAAGCCTTCATCAATATGCCTTCCCTTAGCCGAGGGTAGCGAACCTTTGTATTACGAGAATATTTTTAATCCAGAAAAGTCACTCATTCATTATGCTGATTTACCCGATGCTGGCTTAGAGGAGGATTTGTACGATGCCTCCTCGGCCTTGACAGCATTTTTCCTCGCCTCGATTTTCCGCTCTTCAGCAGCTACCATATCTAAATCAAAACAGTCAGTACTGAACTCCCTCGGAATAACAACCCAAAAAAAGCCAAATAAGAATAAGGAAACTCACCCCTCCATAAATCCTCTCCCTGGTAGGCTTCATGATGTACCCTCTTCTCAATCATATGCTTATGCTCCGGATCATTAGGATCCAAAACCATCACGCTCTCCCACCTCCCCTTCCCCTTCTTCGCATCACTCGTCTCAAACATCGCCGTCGCCACCAAAACCGCCAGGGTCAGACCCTGCGCATACACCCTCGCCTGCACCAACTTCTGCGCGCCCGTCAGGTACTTATTCCGCGACACCAGGCCGAATGCAATCCCCATCGATGCCACCCACGAGGCTGTCACGATCGGATACCGGTTCTCGCGACCCCATTCTTTGGCCCGCTGGAGGCTGCTGAGTGAGGCTTGTGTGCTTTCTATTGCGAGTGAGGAGGAGTCTTTGTAGAAGGACTCCGGGTGGGTGGAGGCTTGATAGGCGCGCGAGGCTCGGTCGGCCATTATTATTGCGGAGAAGGTGCCGGAGGAGGTGACGAGGAAGGCTTTTAGAGGGATTGTGAGTTGGCGGAAGGTGGGGAAGCGTTTGTGCGATGCGAAGACTATTCCTGCGCCCTGGGGAGGGTGTTAGTTGGCTGTTTTTCTGGGGCTGGAGGGGTGGATATTGGGGGATGGAGGGGTTGATGGGCGGAAGTTTGGGGATTCCAATTGGGACGTACTGCTGTTAGACCGATGAGGCCTCCTGCGATCCCCCCTTTTAATGTGGCATCGTAGTGAGCCTCTTCTTCTTTCTTGGTGAGAATCTTCATTTTGAGGAATGGAGTTTTGAAGGGCGATTGGTGTTTTGTGGTGACCAAAAGCTACGAAGGTGCTTTTGAATGCTTTTTCTGATGTCTTGAAGTACCGATCAAGAATTGACTATGGACTGGATTGCGGTTCTAAAACTTGTGGTATCCAATTGATCGTATGTTGTTGGTCGTACGTTGTAGTTGGATGCGCTCAAAAATCAATGGTGGTTCGGGATTTGTAGGTCAGGACGCCTTATTCGCGGGTCTCTTGAATCATTTGCGGTTGAGTCTTGGTTGTAGGTCGATGTGGTGGCAAAGAACAGCAACTTTCCAGACTTATATATGAACTCAATGACGAGAGATTCCAGATTCTTCGTTAGGAATTAGCGGAGATGCATCAAACTCGCCTGTTCTATCTTCCTCGTGGTGGAGTAGTAATCGAATTGTGATCGTGCAGTAGTAATCGTCCTGCAGAGAAAAACAGCCGAAAATACACACTGACATCATTCCGGGATTTCAGCAGGCTGTGGCTGACTGGTTTTTGACATCCCGAAGCATCTCCTGAACATGCCGAGTTTAGGCGAGGCGCGCTTCCGAGTTCTCCCTACGTGCTGAGCATTTCCTCGCAACAGTTCTGATGATGGGAATTGAAACGGAACAACATTTTTTCCCTTCATCTTGAATTTGTGGTTATCAATTGCATTTACACTCTTTTCCAGTTGATCGTGGTTATTATCGCGTTAACACATCGGGAGAACATACTGTAGAAAGTGCCGAGCGTGGCTATTTTCTTCCATCAAGCAGGTGAAACCATTTAAATTGTTACGTTCCTCCTCTAACCATATTTTGCTTCCTGCTTGAATCTTCTTTTCCCTTGGAATTTACGTTGTCATTTTTCTGTTTGGCTTTAGGTTGAGATTTGGCCTTCTCTTCTTGTGTACCTAAGGCCTAAGTTTCCTCTCGTCCTCTAAATATCTCTTCGCTTCTCAAGCGATCCTGCGGAAAGTTTCAAGATACCAGGGCGAAAGAAAATGAAGTAAAGGGGGTGGAGAGTGAAAGCTAGACACTATCCTTGACCATATTACGGCCCGGCCCCGATTTCCAGCTAAATCAGCGAATCAGAGACTCGTATCTGGGCGATAGAGACTTTTCTCACATATGATCTACGTGCTAGTGTCTAGCTTTGTATACCCCCTTTAGGAGCTTTAGGAGAATTAAAATGGTAGTCATTTGCTTCTTCTCCCGTCTTTTAGGAAACTTAGCCGCGATAGTCAAGGTTTTATGAAATAACGAAGGAAAGTATCGTGGGAGTGTCATCTCAAACCCTAATGTTAAGGTTACAACGGGGAAAGAATAGAAAACTTTGTACGAAGTATATTTGGCTCACCATGGCTCTTTGTTACGGAGTAAAACCCGCCGGCAGTCGAAGAAAAAATCTGGGTTCCAATTGAAGAAAACAGATCATAAGCTTTTGGAGTCCCTGTTACCGGGTATATTTTACGACCAAGATTTACACTTGATGGCTATAAAAAGAGATTGCTTGGTGTCGGTCATTTAATAATCTACGACCATGCCAAGATGCGCATCAAATGTTTAAACGTCTTTGACTTCAGTGCAGATCCCAGCACTACTGTACTTAGCGAGTATTGAACCGATCACGTTCCAGAGGCCTTGGCGCGGATATACCGAGTGATAATCCCTGAGCTAAAACCTCGTTGACTAAAATGTCTCTTGATAGTCTCTCGGTGTAGTTCATTTAGGTTGTTCATACAGTACAGAAATTGGGTTTTGTTTACGACCACCGGAACTGTATAGAAAGTCCCGGTTAATGCTTCCTGCTTGGCCCAACGAATTTTTCAAGCCAAGTGAGGTGCATTGAACATGACCACTCAATTCTGAGTCTCCGACAGTTCTTTGGGGAGAGAAAAAGCACAGGATAAGTTCATATCCCTGGAAATCAAACGATTTTAGTCTTAGACACGGACTTTTGCGAAGTATGGTGATTTATCCAACTTCGATCTGATATATAACAGGGAGAGGTTCCAATGGAATAACTTCCTCTCCCATCTCTATCGATTTCCTTCTTTTTGCCTCGTTGCAGTTTTTGAGCGTATTCTTTTTTTCATTCGTTCATACTTTCGTTACCCACACGTTTATTTACTTTCAACCACATTCGTTTCCGAGCTTGCTAGTTAACCATTTTCAACCGCCAAAATGCAATTCATCAACCTCCCAACCGCTCTTCTCCTTCTTGCCTCCGCTTTGTCTGTGACTGCTGCTCCCATTCAGTATGTCTTTGTATCCTATCTCATTGATCCTTCCCACAACTAACTTTCAACTAGAAATGAGGTAGCCCTCGAAGCTCGCGATCCCTTAGGCGTAAACGTGATCAAGAACTCGATTTCCACCACAATTTTCAAGCCCAAGGAAAAGTTGCACGCCCGAGACGAGCTTGAAGCACGCGTGTGGCCTAAAATTCTAGGACCTTCGTCTCCAAAGTCGCCAAAGTCCCCTAAATCTCCAGTTCCCGGTAGTCCAAGGTGGCACAAGCGAACCCTTACGTCGGAGTATTTCGCTAAAGATCCAAATGAGGTGGAGCAAAACACGGATGCAGATGGCTGGATATCTTAGGATGGACTAGTCAACATTGATGTTGATGGGGATATGGCGCAGTAGGCCTTCACGCGTTTGCACCATTTCTTTTCGATTTACTTTCTTGTCTTTCTGTTTAGGAAAATGTAGTTGTATGTGGAGGAAGGAAATAAGCAAAGAGGAATGTGGTTGGAAGCGGCTCGGTGCCTGAGACGGACCAGTCACTGTTTTTGTATTACATGAGATAGAAAAGTAAATACCCGCCCGTTTTCTGACTGTTTTCCCATTGTGTACCCCTCCTCCCACAGGGATTTAACAACTAACTTATCCCTTGCAAATGCGAGAGTTACAAAAAGAACGTGCACTTAAAGGGATTAGGAGTGAATGCAAAACTGGGTCAAATTGAGACTCAAAAGCTTGGAATCATAGCCTGATTGGTAAAACGATTTCATTTTGCGGAGAAAATGTGATACAATTGGACATCTTACTCTACTTCGCGTGCACTTTTCTTTTGTAACTCCCGCATCTGAAAGGGAGAAATACGCTATAAAAGAAAAGAAGCTCTGGTAGATTCAGAAAAGCAAGTCAAATCAAAGTCCACCAGTATTTTCCTTATATATTTCTAACATTTATAGAGTAAGAGATCTATCTTTCAAAGCCGAGTCTCAGCGGTACAAATTTGGAAGGTTTTTTCCGTCCCTGTAGAGGGTGAGTAGGAAGAAAAAAGACTAATGGTGATCATCTGGGTGCCTCTAGTTAGTGAAACAGTTTCTTCTCCTGGTAGGTCTTCCCTTCTCTCCTTACTGAAAATCTCATAATCAATACCCTACCCTAACATGCGGGCTCTAATGAAGTGAGTAGCTTGGTTATAATTACTCCATGAAAGACTCTTGTACTAAACGTCGAGCACGAGTAACTTTATTATCTTAGTATACTTAAGATAAAAAAAAGGAGACAAGTAATAGCTAATCTATACTAGGTGTACTCAGAGTAATAATTGCGCCTCTTATGTTTAATCAAACCTTTCCCTATTTTCTACAAATAGCTAAATTATAGAGATAATGAATATTAATAGTTTACCATTTCTCCTTTGTCATGCTACTAACACTTATGTACGGCCGTGCTAATATTATAAAAGAAAAGCGATTCATCGTTCTCTTCACTACCCCTAAATTAACTCTAAAATTACCCTTCTTATCATTGACAGGAGCTTTATCTAAAATCCACCAATGTTTTTTAACCTGATAAGAACTAGATTACTATAAGCATCCATCGTTTTCAAGCCTTTATATATAGTGCTTATAACAAGTAGTGTAGTAACAACTTCAGACCTGTTCAACCTTTAATATTTATACGATCCGCTAGATATATAATTCCTACCACTTTTCTTTTCTGCTAGGAGCTATCTTTGATTGTGAGTTGTGATTTCACCTCTGATCAAAACCAGAGATTGTTAATAATATTAATGAGTTTATGATCAATGTCCCTATAATTTAATTATGTGAGGGTTGGAACCCATGATGGAGGCTCGGGCCATGCCCTCGCTAAGCACTGACCAAAGTCCCCGCTCAGCATTGGCCATTGCTCCACTGCTAAATTGGTTTCTCCTTTTCTACACTTTTCTACTCTATTCTTTTGACGTCACGTATTTGTCAAACAGTTTCTTGGAAGACTCCAGAAACTCTTCCTCTCTCTATATATAGAGGAAGAGATTGCATGTATGTAGTCTTCACGCACTTCTTAATATTCTTTTGACGTCACGTATTTGTCAAACAGTTTCTTGGAAGACTCCAGAAACTCTTCCTCTCTCTATATATAGAGGAAGAGATTGTATGTATGTAGTCTTCACGCACTTCTTAATTGAATATTCGAAACCACACCTTTGAGCTATTCGAGGTCTGGCCTCTCACAAATTAGAACTATTATAAGATCAGAAATCTACCTTTCTAGTACTAGGACACTAAGATATGCACAGGCATTTGTACAAGAGCCCTAACATTTCTATAACCAAACTAGACATTAACAACTGCAGGAACTTGACACCATAATTCTATATCAAGGCTCCAATACTTGACTCAACAAAATATTCGCAATTATCTAATTTTTCATTTGATAGCCTAGAGATCGTTGTTCTAGCACGTTAGCATTCTTTTAGGTGTGAGATAGCGCACTTGCCACAAGTGCTTGTAATTCCTCTGAGAGATATTGCTCTGGATCCGCGGTGTTTACTCAGAGGGTGAGTAGAACATCTTCGTTAGCTTAGTGAAGTACAGGCGAGGAGGTAGTGAATCAAGCTTCTTTGCTCCCACTCTCCCACCCACAAAGTTTTCTTTATATTGACAAATCACCCTCCCTCCTCCTAGCAAATTAGTAGAAATGGTCAAGTGGAGGGGCCACTGATCTTGCGAGATAAACCAACTTCCTGAACTCAAGAGTTAAAAGAGATGTAAGGATGCAGAGTTAGTCCGAGCCTTGCGCTTGTTCTTTTGCTTTTTTTTAGTAGGTTCTTTTTGGTTTTTTAGGGGGAGAGGGGAGGGCGAAGGGGGATTTGATGTTGAGGTTGAGTTGAGGTTGAGGTTGAGATGTAGACGAGGAGGGGGTGCGGGAGTGTGGGAGTGAATAGGTGTGGAGATGCGTCTTCGCTTATTTAATCAGTGCAATTGTTTGCCTTGGGAGAGAATAAGAGGATTCGTTTAGAGCAAGTTTGAATATTGAGATAAATAAACCTCTGAAGTAGATACTTGGATGTAAATTACGATCAAGATATCGATTCAAAAAAAGAAAAAGAAGAAAGGTTTCGGAGCGGGTATAGTCCTCGCTCCCCCTGAGAGCTGAGTCAACATATGTCCCTCCATCTTATCATGCACCCTGATCCCGTCTAATTCACTCACTAATCACATATATAGAACTAGGTATTCTCGGCGGGGGCCGCCGAGGAATGGGGAAGAAGTGAGAGGGTATATACTACCGCGGTAATAATAAGCGCCCTACAATCACCCATTCACTAAGATTCTCCCTATTTCTACCAGTTTTCTCTTCTTTTTTGGACGTACGTATAAGGACAATCCTACCAGCTCAGGAATGCTGTTTTTGGTGAAGTTATACATATAAATATCTGATATTGGCTGCTAACAAGTGTGTATGCATTCACTTTAAATCAGTTCTCCAAGCTTTGCAAATACGATTGATGAATGTCCTGTTTGGATCAGATGATTTTGGCGGGATTTCTGTCGGATTCTTTTATGATTAGTAGTAAATTTGTAAAATTTCACCATTTTCAAGGTAGCTTAACCTACAATATATTATATAGACAACGCTGCCAGCAACGAGCTTAGAGGGCGTTATCAGTGTACTTGATTAAGATAATAAATATGTCTAGATAAAAGAATCACAGGTAGTATTAATTCTTTTCAAAGTAATATTAGTAGAAGTGTTACAACACGAGCACTCTCGGCTCCCCTGTCTAGCACTGTGTGGCACTAGCATATTCCATGGAAGGCGCTAGTCCTATTATGGAAACTTCCAGGCCGACAGACAGCTCCTATATTAGAGCCCTGCTCGCCCCTTAGCTACCTTCTCTCTGTATTCCAGCTTTCCATTCCACATTATACCCTCGTCTTCTGACAAGAAGTAGTTGTGACGGTTATGGTCACGAGGGCTGGATGTCACATGCTCGCTTAGCGAGGCGCTAGCGCGCACGACCTGTATTTAGTTCCCAGCTCTCTCGAGCTCTCCTTCTTTCCTGGTCTTTTGTCCTAAGAATAGAGTGTTAATTGTTCTGAGTTCTACCTGAAGCACGTCTGTCACAGTAGTAGTATCGGTACGAGTAGTATACAGTAATAGTAGTATATTAGTAGAGATTATATAGGTGTTGTAACGAATACTCAAACTGGCTAACTAAACTTGGCTGGGTGTTCGCTGGTTGGTATGCTATGATAAGAAGAAGACTATCGGGTTGTTCACTTGGAAGTGAACTCGTTACTTGTATCAAAGATGTCAAACTAATATGATAAGATTGATAACTAAGTTGAGCACGAAGCTCCTATCTAATGGCAGACGTGCCAGTCTTATATAGAACCTTCGTTCTCTGTGGTCGCCATGGTCGACTGCTCGACCATGGCCGACATGGTCGACTCGTCGGCCATGTCGCTCGTTTCCATCACGTGATAACTAACCAAGAGAAATCCCTGGATCGCTTAGCTAGTCTAAGCGTCCCTATTCGCTATAAGAGTCCATGACAATGTTTAACCTGTCAGGACGCCGCCTGGTCTTCACTCATCACCTTCTAGCACGTGATTCGTGACAGGTGTATAGACATATGGGGTACATAATCCCGAAATCTACTCGTTATACAAGTAGATCTTGTTTTAGTGTGAAACAAGCCTGGATTACTTAATTATAGATCAAATATTCCGACGTGTTTAGATTAGCGGGATTATTTAGGATTATTATATGATTCTAAAAACAGTCCTTGAAATAATCTTATCTAAACACGGCCAAGATGGCTACCGTAAACGAGCCGTTGACTACCTAATACGGAGAGCTAGTTACTACTCGAAGCTTTAAAGAATGGCTTTATCTAGGTAGGTACTTAATAATGGAATCCTAATATTCTATATTAACTAGGTACGTAGCTACAAATATTGAATATTGATTTGTATTGTAAAGTTCTCAAATCCTCTAGTTTAGGCTTGAAATGTAGGGACTATCTTATTAATGTCTATAACCCCTAGAGTTCTAGTACCGAAAAAGTAGATTCCCGATCCTAGTATAGTTATATTTCTTTCTCTTAACTAGCTAGGACATTAACCTATGGATATTAATAAAATCCAATCATTGTTTTAGTAAGATATATGTCAAAAACTAATACTTAAATATAGCCCCTAGTAGATAGGAAAATTTCTCTTAATCAGTGTTTTTATACAAGAGATTTATAGAGCAAGACAGACGCTGCTATGACTCGTGAGATTTGATATCTTCTTTATTAAACATAGATATCCACCTCCTTTACGTCCCGTACCGAGGTGAGCGAAATTTTGTCACAAATGTATTCTGTATCTAGCCTGTAAATTAGGACACTGAGAATATTAGGGGAGCAAACTTAGTAGTATCTGAACCTGTTTTGTAGATTATATAGTCAGACCTTTTTCTTGGGCCCTGTCTAGCATTTCTCTTTTTTTTTTTTGGAGACATAAGAAAGCAGGTTTTGAACAAATCGCTGTAATATTTATGGCATTAACGAGAAGCTCAAACGGGCGAATTTCGACTCTTTTCGTAGAATTTCTTAGGAGCATACAAGGAGTATTTCAATGTATGCTTCTGGTAACATTGAGCGCGAGGATCGAAGAGAAGGAAACGAGACTATCTACCTCAAAGATATCAGCCCAATTCTAGCTTCATAACTAATGTAGCTTTATACCCCTATAACCCCTGACAGATCTGACGTACCATTCATGAGTTCTTCTGAGAGAAGCTTATGGAAAGGTACGATTTAGTTAACATCCGTCCCCATTTTACTATGCTAGCACATTAGCATTATTACATCTTAAAGCAGGATGCCATATATAGTCTCTAAGGTAGAAAGGGATCGATCTTCTCCCCCAAATCTATCCTGACAATAGAATTTAACTTTTAGCTATTTTAATTAAGAAGTAGCCTTGACGAAAAACAGCGGCTCTCAACCAGATCAAGAGTCTACTTATCAGCGGTAGGAGTAGGAACTCTAATAAGAAGCGATTCTTGACTTGTCTAATCTATATAAACTATTTTCTGCCCTGTTGAAATTATTCAGGATACTGTCACACGTATAATGTACATAAATAAACTGCGGCAGCTGGAGCTTTTCGGACCTTTCAGGGCAGCTCTCGGGATGGTATCATTCCGATTCCGATTTTGTAAAGAATGATTTCAGACAAAAGTCCTTGGTTATCGGAGAATTTCCAAAGAACAGGCTCAGCAAACCCTTGGTGGAGGAAACTTTATCTTGTAAGCCATCAATAAGTGAATAAGTGTCCCATTTTGAAAGCCACAAATTGTTTGAGGGGATTCACCTTGCTTTGGGTTCTATGACGTTAAATATTTATCTGGACATAAATGGCGCTGCTACAAGAATACATTAGTGGCCTTCAAATTCACACTCGTCTTGCATGTATGTCTCGTAACTTCCGTGCTTATCAGAGGCAACATCGCGTCAAATTCGCGGAATGAATATTCTCTAACTACAACATCCACTATCTCTCAAACACACAACCCGCGCACGCATATCTCCAACAGAGGATCGCTAGAGCCCTTCGACAACCAGCATCTGAACACGAAACAAATATCCTTGTCCAGCATAATGACTATCAACGAGGGGGAACTACAGTGCTTTCTTTGCTTAGATGTATTCCCTATTGCTGAGGGAGTGAAGATCTCTTGCGGGCACGCTTATTGTGAAGTATGCATCCCAGAACTGTTTGAGCAGGCCACTATGAACATAAACCTTTTCCCACCAAATTGCTGTGGTCAAGAACTCTCCCCAGCCATATTTGGTCATTTCATTCCAGCCGCAGTCCTCCAAAAATTCAATATGATAATGGATGTTATTTCAGCCAGAAGCAACTATTATTGCTCAATAGCAACATGTTCCTACCCTCTTCGTCCAAAGGACATCGAGAGAAACTTAGGCACTTGTCCTGTCTGTGAGAAACAAACCTGCCTCGAATGCAAGTCTCTTGCTCATGAGGGGGAATGCAAGAAGGACGAGGAGGAAGAAAAGCTTCTACAACTGGCTGCGGAGAATAAGTGGCAGGTCTGCCCTACCTGTGGTCAAATGGTTACTAGAACTGGTGGGTGCAATATGATGGTGTAAGTTTCCTATATCCAATACCGAAGTATAAGTTGACTGACATGAATAGTTGTGTATGTAAAGCGGAGTGGTGCTATGTTTGCGGGAAACGCGAGTGTAGAATCGGGCATCGTTGATATTGATACCATACAGTGTCGAGGGTATGTGATGATACATCGTTTCGAGTAGAATCGGAATCGCTATATATCGTTTGTTACCGATATAGCGATGTATCAGTGGGGGTTTATTTCCTTGGACGGACGGCCAATAGAACCAAGTAACGAAAACTACTCTATCCCATCTGCTGTTTTTTATCCTTCAAGTCACACATCTTTCAACAAAGTGTTACTAACTATGCAAGTAATTCTTCCCTAATTATTTACTCAAGCAAGAAGCATGGTTCGCGTAGCAAGCATGAATACCTCTCAAGGCAGTGCGGTATCTAAAGTAAACATTCATGTTTGAAACTGGAAAGTTAAGCGAAGAGACCCCCTTTTCCAACTTTCCAACTTTCCAGCTTCCAAGCCATCTACAAATTCCTCGCAGGATTCATTCCTAACTCTTTGTGAATAATTGAAGTAGAGTGCTATGATATATTCTAATGTTAATGAAGTAAACCGACGTTTTTCTAAAACAAGCGTATTGCCCAATTAAGGCTTGAATTGTTCAAAATTATCTTCTGCCTTCCACAATCAACCCTCATGATCAACTGAAGCCGAATATACTGGTAACCGAACCCACGATTCCTCGGGAAGAGCCGACCAACGATCAAAATTGAGTCATTGAATCAGCTGAGTTGGCTTTCGCTGAGGGGGAGATCTGATAGTCACATGCAACTTCTAGGAACCCGTTCCCGTTCCTCTGCACCCCTGATGATGACGCACACCGCCTTTGAATGCCAAATTGGGCATTTAAAACGTCGCAGAAGCATCTTGCCTGCCGTCGGAGCTATCTCGGAGACTTCTTTTACAAATGTAGTTGGTGACCCTGTTTTGTATTTACACTGTATTCTTCTCCAGTTAAGCACTTAGCATATGAGTAATGAATAAGGTGGTATATATCAAGCTTTGATACTTCATGCATCTTTGTCTTACCAAAACTGGACAAGTCCGTGATGCATATTCACAATCCTGCCCTCGCCGCTTTTCCAACATCGCACAGTTCTTGGCTCTCCCCCCACAAGCATCTCCCCTCCAATTCTTCCAAGCCTCCCAAGCCTCCCACTCTTTCAGCCCTGTAGCCAGACTTCCAGAAGCCACAAGGAACACCGCTCATACCTCTTGTCATGTCTTGTCACCTTTGCGTTCCCTTTTCCCGTCGGGTTATTTTCTCAACTCTACTTCGAAGTGAAAAACCTCAACCTCAGGTCGCTACTTAGTCTGTAAGATTATTGTCGAAATGAATTAATATGAAACCATACTTACAAAACAAGAGGATCTGCATTTATAAATTGGATTCTGGACCTTGAATTCCCTCGACGAATGAGAATAGTCTCCAAAGAAGCAATGCGGCAGAGGCGGCTCCCAATGCTACATAGTGGAGTAGAAAGTGGAGCGAGGTGTGGTAATAGAAAACTCAAGCTTGGAACTCCTCATTTCCTCATTCGGCGATTTCGTTTCCAAACTAGACCAAGAACAGACAGGTTCGCAAACAGGGGTCCTGTTTGTTTGTCTCTTCTCTAGGTTCTGCCTTGTGGAATTGAGTTTTGTCCCAACTCACGGTGTTCTAGGAATTGATGCATCAAACGCTAGTGTACTGTGCCGCCATTATTAGATCTCGGATCCCTTTCCTAACCTCAGTATTTAAAATCGACACCCGTTTGTGAAACATGAAGACATTGATTGATATGCTGCCACTTAATAAAAAGTCAGAAAACCGAAAACACTCCGTGATACCCATACCTCTTACCTAAAACACGGCCCCTCTCCTCCGTACGGAGGTAGCAGACCCCAATAATATGTCTTTCCTACCGACGACCCCGCTACACTTTGATCATATTCATGCTTACCAATTGATCACCCCGCTACATCTGGAGCCCATGTATCCCAACCTCGGTACTTGATTCATAACCTCTGTAAAACCACAACTTGAAAGCATGTCTAGGAAAATCTTGGAAAGCTGCCCGCGCTCATCGCGCAGCATCAATAATACGGTGTAAATAAACGGTGAGGAGCATCCCCAGAAAAGAAAGAGTAAGTTGATTCTCGGTAGACCCATCTCGGATCACGCATGCATACAGTATGGATCACGAGACCACGAGACCAAAAGAGGAAATGGAGTAAACAAGAAACGTCTTGACTCTCACCCCACTCACCCCACTCACATCAAAAAGCAGAACGAAAGGAAGTACGGGCCTTGTAAATTGTAGTCCAATTAAACTTCAATTATTGAAGAAACACAATCAGGCAATCTGCAGCCCTGAAACCCCAACCTCCCATTTCCCAAGTAAAGTTTCCAAAACCTCACAACACCAAAGAACCAACCCTCTGCTCATTAACCATGAAATGCAACCTCAGCAACTGGGAAAAAAGAGAAACCCATCAAGAAGCCCTCCCACATGACTCGTCCACTTAAAGACGCGGCAACAAACCACCCATTACCCATCACCCCATGAATTAAACCAGAAACTCTAACTACATTCAAGGATCCTGACGTGGTACCCCCCACAGTACGTCCACCCCCCCCC